GTACATAACCAATCTTTGTGCGATAAAATTGGGGAGGCACCACCCGTTCACCACTATTTGGTACAATATACAATCTATGGGGATGGAGCAAGCACGTCAGTCCGCGCCCGCCCTGATGGAGGCGCAGTTCGACGTATTCGGAGAAAATACCGGACCGGCGGACCTGTTCTGGGCCGTGTCGACCACGCACATGATCAAGCACCTGTACGTGTCGCGCCTTGTCTCGATGGACCGCGCCCTAGCCGTCGTGGGGGTGATCATGCAGAGGCTGCAGAGCAGCCCCCGATCGGACCCGCTCGAGCTGGCGCACTGGATCACCTGGACCAAGATGATGGCGTGCACCATCATGCTCGACAGCGAGGACCCGGACCGCTTCGCGCGGTGCGACGGGCTGCTCGCCGAGGCGGAGGACGAGCAGCAGCGCCGCGGGGGGCTCGCGTACAACAACAGCTGCGAGGTGGACTGCACGTCGATCCGGGCAGAGATCGAGGAAGGGCTGGGGCGGATAGACAGCGCCGCGTACTACTTCCAGCGCGTGGTCCAGCTCTGCGTGCGCGACCGGCCGCGGGGCCACCGGCGCACGCTCCGCGCCTACACCGACCTGGAGAAGTTCTACCGCCGCATGGGCGAGGAGGAGGAGGCCGAGGAGGCGCACAAGAGCTACCTCGCCGAGGTGAATTTGGTGGTGCTGGAGATGAAGGACGAGGAGCATAAGATCCCGATGCCAACATGAATAGTTCGCACGTGGATGTCTCGCTCTCCAGTACACACAAAGTGTCTTGATAAGCAGAGGACGAGTTGGCGATCCATCCCTCCATGGAAGCAGCTTGATGACACACAAGTGGAGCTCGTCCCAATTGCAATAAACTAGGAAGGTGTTGCCAAGCGATTGAAGCCCGATCTATTAACAGATCAGAACCTGCGTGACGGCATTTTCTGATCATTGACGGGATAAAAGGGCAGGTGAAAGCCCCATCTTGTAAACCTGTAAGTGCTATACCGACCCCAGCAGAGATTTTATATCAGAATAGCCAATTATCTATGCACACTAAGGTTAGAAACATACCTTTTCGGGCCTCTGAAACACGCTGCAATAATTTCAACCTGGAAGCTGGTAGGAAACGGGTTTCATCTGCCAAACTTGTGCAATGTAGTAGATTATCTACTGATTATGGGTTGTGTATTCTAGTCCGAGCAATGTGATTATACTAAATAAATACAGCAGACAGCTTGCACCACTACACTCTCATCAACAATGACAAATCGAACAACCCATCAGTTTACGATGTATAGTATACATTCGAATAGGCTGGTTCATCAATTTAAATGGTAAATAAAAACGCTATATCCAGGTTCTATTGTCCACCGCGTACTCTGTTAGATGCTCCCTGATTTGGCTATAATCCCTGCATACATGTTTGCCATCCCACCCATCACTGCCGTCCTGTCCGTCTTTGAATGTCGTCTGCTGGCCCTCGAGAGTAACATCGCCGTAGCACAATATGCTCTGGCGTAAGTAGTCGAAGCAGTGGGCTACGTGCCATGGTTTCTGGGCCTCGTGCCCGGTACGGTTAAGTGTAAGCCAGGCATGGGACTCCATGATTGCATACTGGAGAGGATATTAGCAAGAAGAAGAAGCAGAGATTGAATTAAATTGGCAAGGAAGTGCTCACAAGACAGTGTAGCTGGTGCGTCACGGTGGTCTCAACCACGAACATGCCTTGCTCCTCAAACATACGGAGTGGGGTGGGCAAGCCTTCGTACTGTTCCGGGTTATCAATCTTGATAAACCCAAGGGCAGCTATGGAAGCGTTTAGTACATGTACCTATAATGGGGTTCGAGGGAGAACATACCGGGCAGGAGATCGAGCCAATTCTGTCTGACCTGGGAAGAGAAGAAGTCAGAAGCTTCCTCGGGAGCGTACCCGGGATCCGGCTGGAATGTTATGATTCGCTGAGAGACTATCGGGAGACAGTGGTCAGCGTCTGGTTTAGTGACGGAAACTATAAAAGCGGAACATAATTACACTGAGGGTGGAAGCCGATCACATCACCTGCCACCTCGTAGGCATTGCCCTTTTGCTGAGACGCCTGCCAACGTTCGAGCAGCAAGCCCAGTATAACCAGCAACAGAAATATGTCCAGTAGCCATCGATAGGCAGCAAAAGACTTCAGCCCACCACATCGTTTAGAATGGCGGCCAGACACAGCGTAGTCTGCGTCCCCCAACTCAATCGCTTCGTCAAACTCAGCACTGGATCCCTGGATGTCCTCTGCCGGGACGTTCTGATACATATGACCTTGGTGAGCTCCCATCGTGACGGTTGGAGAGACGGCCAAATTAGTCCGTTTGAATGGATTAATTTGTTATCAGGACTGTTCAATAAGGCCCCGTGGGGATGGTGGTTCTCCTTCCTTCGGTTCTTGGAAATTAACCATGGGCAAAGGAGACAGGAGAACGGTGCGAAGTTGCCGTGGCTGGCTGAGTCTAATTTACTTAGACTACATCTAGCAGAAGTGGGGCCGGCACCCTCAGGGGCTCGAGATCAGATCTGCCGTCTAATGCACCAACTTTTTCAAGTTAATGTGTGTGTATGTGTGTGTGTTCCTGACTAGGAAGAAATGGGCTTGGCTTGGCACTTGCGTACATAACGTAGGCGGTGGGGGCCAATTTCGCAATCCATCATACAGAGGGACGAGTATAGACTGTGAGCTATACCGGCGCTGGTCTCCCGTGAGCACCATAGATGCGATGCGCGAATACGATGAACACATCAGGATCTCATGAAGTCTCATTCCAACCCATCTCCTCGGGTTGGACACGTCAGCGCGATCATATGGGTACAGACTACACGGGAAAACAGCACATTCTCCGCTGATCCAGCTTTTTTGGCCCGTTGCATTAGTGCAGAACTATTGCCTGCTTAAGAAAACTAAGCAGCGAGCGATCGCAGTGGCTAGCCCCCATTAGTCTCTAGGCACGACAGCCACGGCTGGTATTTATAGGAGAAGCGTGGTCCAGATGTGTGTCGCTTTTCAGTTTCCACCACGGTAGAAACCTTTTTTGCAAGCCACTGCAACGGCGAAGAATAACCTGGAGCTTCTCCCGATCCACAATTCTAGACATCATGATGCGACTAGGAGCCTTCCTCGGGCCGCTTTGCGCTCTTCTTGGAGCAGCTTCCGCGGATGATGTTTTCCAGCGTGGTAACCTACAGGCAACGACAACGGCGGGCTGTGGAGACTCCTGCGCCTTAAGTCAGTTACCCTCCCGTCAACGATTGGAATCAGAGAAAGCGAGTATTAACATGGCGACACAGGTGTGACTTATGGGGCGTCAGGTGGATTTGCCTCCGCCTCCGCCGATTGCTCGAGCTTCCTCGGTGCCATTCAAGTCACTGTGGACGCTGCTTCCACCTCGTATGTAGTGATGCCATTTTTAAGAAAGCATAATGGCGGTGCAGGCTGCTAAAAACATGGACTGAACAGAATCGTGACGGTCGTGACTACGTTGTCTCCGATAAAGAAGCGCTGCGGCGCCCCTCCCCAGCCTACTTTTGCCTCCACGACAGATACATCCTCGTTCTCTAGCACTGCTGTGGCATCCTCCAGTGATTCAACAACTACGTCGTCCTCTAGCAGCACGGAAGATGCATCATCTTCCAGCAGCACGACTGATATATCATCCTCAAGCAGCACAGCGGATGTATCATCCTCCAGCAGCCCGTCAACTACACCGGCAACCATCCCCACATACGCAACCGCAGCTTGCATTCAGACCTCCGCATATATTAGTGCCTGCTCTTGCATCGGAGTAACTTCAGCTCAGACCGTGACGGGTAGCGTAACCACAGTGGTCACCTCGACTACGACCATCACAGCAGAGACAAATTAGTCCCCCAAAGCGACATGAACTTAACCTTTAATTAGCCTTGAAAGATACCTGTTCTCAGGCGCCTCTTTCTACTTGGGTTGGCATTGGCTTATTGAGTTGGATAGAGGGCTATAACCGGGAGCGTGGATGGGAAATACTCACAGGCAGCTGATGCTGAGGTTTTAGATGCAGATTGCACCTTAATGGTAATACTTAAAGTCATGATAGAAATAGAGATTGTCTAGACTGCCATTTATCTTCGTGTATTCGAACTTGTACTCTTGATGTGCTGTATGACACCACCGTTTGATAGATGCTTTTCCGTCTTATGGCCCTGAAATCTACCTAGAGGTCTTTCTGGACAGGACGTTTAGTGGGTTTCTCTCTTTACATCTCTGAATTGGCCCATTGAGGTGCAAAATATGAACACAAGCACAAGAAGATGAGTCAACTAGTCTAGTTCACAGAGAGCAAGTATAGAGCTTAACCAATTGAATTATTTGACGTGAAGTCCACAGAGAAGATGTTTACCACGAACAGTCACATTAATTGCCAGGAACTGAAAAATACCCTCTGTAAAACATGATCAAATAAAAGGTCTGTTGTATTTAATTGTCTTCAATGCCTGACTGGTATCTTTGAAGTGGTTGTGATTACGCATTGAATGCCCAATTACAGAGAAAGTGATTCAAAGTAAAAAAAAAAGTTGTGACCCGTTTGATGGATGGAAGGCAATTTTCAAGACACCCAAACACATTATCCAACGTCAACTCATGATTCCGAAAGATATACAAAATTTCTTGAAAATTGATCTAGACTTAGCATCAAGACTTTTGCAGCTATTGATAAAAAAAACCCAGATCCTGACTCGGCTTCCGATCCTGTGTGGATCAAATCGCTATAGTGGAGCGGAAAGAAAAAATTTTCCCCATGACTAAATAATGCCCAATACAGCCCCGACAGTCCCATCAATCACATAAAAGAAAACAAAATCCGATGTGGTGTAGTGGCTAACATATGACGCTCTCATTCTATGATCCGTCATGCCCGGGGTTCGATTCCCCGCATCGGAGTTTAGGAGTATTTGACTTCTGTCCTATACTCTTCTTTCTATTTAATTGGTTTATCCGATGTGGTGTAGTGGCTAACATATGACGCTCTCAACCTGTTGAACCGTCATGCCCGGGGTTCGATTCCCCGCATCGGAGACTTATATTTTTGGCCCTCAAGTTGGTTCTTATTCCGCACAGAGTCATATGTATATTGATACCTTCTCCTTTTTTTTCTTCCCACTTCTATTATGCTGGCTTACTCTGTCTGCAGTCGGACTGGCCAGCCAGCTCCTATTGTGGTTCATCATTGCTACTTAAAATATTTGAAAACAGATCTTTTTGTCTGTGTTCGCCTGCATAGATATTTCCACCAGCTGTCCACAGGTGGTAGCGTGTGAGTGTATACTAATGACTCCTGTTGTGGCTTCGATTAAAATATGTCTTGTCAATATCTTAATGCCCCGTAATAACTCATTGTTGTGGTACTGTGAGGACTAAGGAAATTCTAGGTTTACATTAACCGAAAATGATAACATACTAAATATCAACTAAATCTACACATCTATACCTGCCTTCACCAACCCCGAGTTTAACCATTTGCATCCTTCGTATCGTACCTGAATGAGCAATACATGTTAGTCCTTGTGCATGTCAGTGCAAGATTCTCTAGCACTGAACCTCATCCATAAATCGCTCATGACAAAGAATCCAGCATCGACGATCTTGATCGGCTCGTGCGGAGTAATGACGGACATGTCGTATCGTCTCAGCAGCTGGTAGCAAATTAGCATGCGATAATCAGACTTCGAAGCGCATGGTTTTCTAACCTCGGGAATAACCTTGTTCATCTCTAGGGACACAACCGGCCTTCCTAGGCATTTGTATCTGCCATAACCAAACTGGGTTTCTAGGCATTCTTTCATCCTCTCGAGCTCCACGCCTTCGGCTTGGAGCCATCGTTCTGGCCGGAACAGGTCTGCGTCTTCACCCCAGTACTTCTTGCTTCTGAGTATACCATAGACACTTGAGCTGACTTGGGTGCCAGCGGGCAGATTGTAGCCGCAGACTACATCTCCACCCTCCGGGACAGTCTTGTAGGCAAACGGAACAGCACCGGGAAACACCCGTAGACCCTCTCGAATGACGGCTTGAAGATAAGACAGATTTCTAGCTTCAACGTCGGTAATGGGAGAGCTCACATTTCCTATTTCTATCGCAACATCGAGCTCACGCACAAGCCGATTGTATACTCGAGGCGTTGACAGTGTGTATAAAAGTGTCATGCGCAAAGTTGTAGCGACAGAGTCGGTGCCCGCAACACTGCAATGTGGTCAGCGCAAAGCATAATTAACTGCTACGCAGTGTCTACTTACACTTGTAGGAGTGCATGATTGGTAGCTTCTTCTTTACTCACGCCATGTTGGCGCATTATCTCGACCATGTCTAGGTTATGTTTCGCGCCAGGTTGGAAATGTTCGTCCACCGCCTTCTTCGAAACACTAGAATTATATCATTAATGGAAAGTGATTGGCCAGCTACGAAAAGCTCTTGAAAACCTACCTGATAAAGCGTCCTAACCCAACCGAGTCAGTAGATTTCGGAAGCAACCGAGCGAATGGTTCGAGTTGTACCAACTTTGCGAGGAAGTGAATCGTAGAGGCCGTCATTACGACTGGAAAAAAGTCTTGGTTCCATTTGAGGTAGCCGAAAGAATCTTTCCCTTCGTCCAGAAACCCATATGGCTGTCCAAGCGTGAAGTCTCCGACAACGTCGAGGGTGAAAAGGTGTAGGATATCTGCCAAGTCCAGAGGTTTATACTCCTGATCAGAAGAGAGAAACTTTTCATTAATCAGGTCGATCAAGCGGGGTAATTGACGGTTAAGTGCACCATCCTGTATTCATCAGATAAGATATCTACCAGAGTTGATTTGTCGCGGAGAGGAGGCTATTATTACCATAATATTTGATGCTGCATAGCCTGGCCCCAGCTTTCTTCTTAAGTCCAAGTGCAGGTTTTCGTCTAAGAGAGAGAATACGTGGTCCTTGTCTTTCTCGAACCGGAAAGTGGCGTACCACTGCCCTTTACTATACTGAGATTTCGCTGCTGAGGCGCGTACAGCAAACTTGGGATCAATTGTTAAAACCGAGTTTGGCCCAATCCTCACAAGATCACCTGCACAAAAGTTAGTGTTTAGGTATCTAGAGAAAAGCAATATCTCTAGCAATAGACTTTCAAATTTACCGTATTTATCAGTCAATTCTTTCAACTCCACGTAGGCTTTTCCCCTGAACTGGGTTTTCAGCAGCCAGAGGTCTGTAATTGAGTTTAAAAATGGCCCGGGAACATGGCTGAGTCGAGACCAAGCTCGGACTTTGAGAATTAAGCTTCCAAAGAGGACTATAATTAGGACCCGTAACACCCAACCATAAGGTGGAGCTGCTTCGATAATGTTGGTATGTAGAGCCATATTCACTTCCGGGAGGTCTTTTTTATTCAGCCTGAGAGCGATGGATTTGGGGAGGACCGAAGCCATCTCATCGATTATAAGTACGTATGAAATGTTAGACGGCAACAGAATGACCCTTGCAAGTATCTTGCAGTTCAGAACGTAACACTGGGGCTATCCCCTCGTACCAAGATTCCCGATATGGAGGACAATGGAACTCTGCAGCCAACAGTGGCAACCAATTAAATTCTAGTTATTTGGAGTAGCCTACAGACCCCTCCAATAATACATCTCAATGGCGGTGCTCACACCAATGTATATTTCTTGTCGGCCGGCTGAAGGCTGTCGGCATGCTCTTCCTTTACGAATCACAGCCAATTAGTCATGGGACCGGGTGGGCAACCACTACACCCTCCCTCCCAAAAGGGCATCGGCGCCAAAGATACCAAACTTATGTACACGAAAATAGGGAAACTGGCCCCTTAGCGACCTCTTTGCCTACACCTCACGTCGTTCTTGGCTTGCTTGCTTCCTTGTCTCATCTCATCTTAACTCCCCTTTTAGGGCTTGAAGGTGTACCCGACGATGTAACCCTTGTCGTAGCAAGGAACGATGATCTCCGCGTATCCATCGCCATCAACGTCGCTGACGGCAAGCTGGCCGACAGTGGAGTCGCAGTCGTGCAGGATAGTGGTGGTGTAGGTCCACTCAGTGGCACCGGGGACCAGGACGTAGGCGTTCTGGGAGGCGTCGCCCGAGAGCGCGATGTACGGCGCGCCGGCGGCCTTGGTGGCGGCCGGGGTCGGGTAGAAGGCCTTCGGCGAGCCGGGCGCGCCCTGGTTGATGCCGAACTGGTTGACGGGGAAGTTCTTGGCCAGTGTGTGGCGGGTCCAAGCCTTGGCGTTGGTGATGTCGGCGGGGATCTCGTAGGCGTAGACGGAGCCGGTGCCATCGCCCTCCTGGTTGCTCACGAGCAGGTCGACCTTGCCGTCCCCGTTGATGTCGACGACCTGCGCGTCGAAGGCGGCGCCGATGGTGGTGTCGAGAGTGATTGTCTGGACATCCGCAGCGCTGGTGAAGCCTGTCTTCGAGTGGAATAGGTTGAGAGTCTCGGTGAAGTAAGAGGGTGCGATGATCTCGGGGATGCCGTCGCCGTCCAGGTCGGCAATGGTGAAGAGCGCATCGCAGCCGGGTCCGATCTCGGTCTCAACCCACTCGCCGGTCGGGTCGCTGGGGTTCTTAAGCTTGAAGACAACGAGCATAGTCTCGTCCTTTCCAATGATGGGCGCGTCTGCACGGCAGGAAACCATCTCCTCTGTTCCATCGCCGTCGATATCGACGAAGAACACGCGATGGTACCACCAACCCGTGGCCGAGACGATCTTAGTCAGCTCTCCAGAGGTAGTGCCGGTGTTGGCACTGTACCAGATGCCACCATTGGTCTCAAAGGGAACGAGGAACCCGCCGGCAATAACGATGCCCTCCTTTCCGAAGATACTTGCCGGTGCCTGAGTAATATCATTTGGCCAGACGATGTTTCCAGGGATCTCAGTGGCAGTCAGCTTGTTCAGTCCCACTTCGCCTACGGTGGCGATATTGTTGATGCGGTACACGTAGTTGCCGAAGAGAGAGAAAGCAGACACGAACAAGGTGTTCGTGCCAGCCTGGGGGATGACCTCGGCGAAGCCGGCATCGCTTATTTTCAGCTGGCCGAGGAATTTGGTTGGAATGCTCGCGTTGACAGATGGGGTACCTGCACCCTGACGTTCAAGGATTGGAACATTCGCGCCCATAATGGGAGCAGCTAATGCTGCTGCCATAAGCGCACCGCACCGTATCCTTCATATGATATGTTAGCTTAGCATTCCAAAGGAGTATGCTGACGAATATCATTGCAGACTTACGCTTGGGACAACATGGTACCGAAACTGAGGTATCTATGGCAGGATATGAGGGGAGGTATAATCAGATGAAACAGCCTTCATCTGCAAGGAGCCTGGCCATCGATTCCTTAAAGTACTCAAATGTCGCGAATGCTTATCAAGGACGATGCTACTAGTTACACCTCTAGCACAAATAACTTAAGCATATGACTGCCAATTATACACTTGTGTAAAACATCAGAAGATCAATCTAATGTGCACCACTCTATTGCATAACGGGCAAATGGCGTTATTTGCATTATCTACACCGATGATGCAATTCACATCTGTTTCATCTGAAAAACAAATGCTGGCTCATTGCATTAGACGGCTTTGTTGATTTCGCATAGGCCATTAAAGTATGCACTATTCAGAATAGCAATAGCGACGAATTGCTTACGCCCATAGGAAGGTCCCCTTGCGCCTGTTGAGTTTTCGCAGTGGCCAGCGATGACTTGCTTGATCGAGTGCAGGGACCCCACTATTCTTATGGGAAGGATATAGAACTGTCTGGGCATTCATACTTGGGGTAAAGTGTCTGACTGGCACAGCTGGAAACCCTCCAGTGACTGCTGGAGCTAAAGACTGAGCGGGGGCAAATAAGAATTACAGAAAACGTGGATTCTTGACTCTCCGTAGTTCCCGTACCTGGGATGCATCCGGCCGGGTGGTGGCTGGAATCGGAAGGTGGACGACGGCGGGGACTGACATCATGCCCCCAGCCTATTCAGCACCCTCCCGAATGCGAATCAAGCCGATAGCGATCGCCTAATGGTAGATGCAGAGA